GACTCTGGAGACCTGGGTTTGGTCTGCAACTCAGGCATGGAAATGCCACTGGGTCACACTCTCTCAGCCTCAGGGGAAGAAAGCAATGGCCAGCCTCCCTCTGAACAAATCTTGCCAAGAAATGCCCTTGATAAGTTGGAAATGACTTGATGGCACAAACCTATTTGCAAAAGGTGGTGCACTCACTGCAGGAAATGAGGCTGGCATAATAATAATAATAATAATAATAATAATAATAATAATAATAATAATAATAATAATAATAATAATGATAGTAGTAGTAGTAGTAGTAGTAGTAGTAGCAGGGCTGACCATTGTTGGGATTCTCGTTTTTAAACAGAAAACAATGAAGAAACACAAGGGATTTCTCATTCCAACACAAAAAAAGCACAAACTCGAGGAAAAGGGCGCCCCTTAATGGCCAAGGTTTGGAATTGCACCTCTATATCTGAAAAGGGAAGAACTCACACCTATTTTAAGAAAGATAATACCCATGTTGTTGTTCTGTGCCTTCAAGTCCACCCCTTATTGTTATGGAGACCCTAAAGCCAGCCTGTTATGGGCTTTTCTTGGCAAGATTTGTTCAGAGGAAGTGTGCTATTGCCTTCTCCTGAGGCTGAGAGAGTGTGACTTTTGCTCAAGGTCACCCTGCGGTTTTCCGTGGCCGAGCTGGGAATCGAACCCTGGTCTCCAGAGTCATAGTCCAACACTAGACCCACTAAGCCATGCTGTCTCTAATACCTATATTAACAACCATTTAAATATATATTTAATATATATATATATTATATATTATATTATATTATATTATATTAATTATATTATATTATATTATACTATATATATATAATATATATAAATATATATTGCTATGCAGAGAAGTGGGATATAAATAAAATTTATTATTATTTTATATATATATATATATATATATATATATTAACAACCATTTAAAAAAGAGGAAGAGGAAGATCTGAATTGAATAATGGAAGAAGGCAATGTGGATATATGTGGTTTCTGTCTATGTGGGGCATTTGTTTATGGAGTTTATGTATCAGCTCAGCTCATCTCTTTTTGCTTTGGTTTCTTTTAAAATAAAAATATCCTGTTTTTCAGGGTTGCAGTGTTTGGGCTAGAAACAAAGGAGGAGGGTGTTTAAACACAAACAAGTGCCATTCTGAAGTGTTTGGTGTGGTTTTCCCGCCACTTCATTAAGGCATTTTTTACTCGCCACGTTCATTGGGTCAACAAAACCTTTTGTTTTGGACATACGCCGGTGTGCACTGTAAGCACTCGCGCGGTTAATTTTTGGCAATCTTATTTATTTTCATATTTTTGTTCCTCCTCTCTAGCTCTGACTACGCCGAGATAATATTTCTAAGAAGAGAGAGGCACATATGATGAGATTTCGTGGAAACTAAACTCTAAAAACGCCAAAGAGGAAAATGGGTGATTCACCACATATTGTACCACCCTATTAAAAAGAAATAATAACAGGCAATAAAAGATGTTGCCTTGTATTGAGTCAAAACATGGCATATCTAGGTCCAAAACACACTGCAGAAATAATCCAGTTTGAGATCGCTTTAACTGCCCTGGCTCAGTGCTAGGGAATCCTGGGAATTATAGTTTGTTGTGGCACCAGAGCCAAATAGTAAACCTTGATTTTCAATTTGATATAAAAGACTCCATTTTGCTCTGCCATTATATTTAATGGGACTTGAGCATCTATGGATTTTGTTATCTACTGGGGAATCCTGGAACCAAACCCCAGCAGATAACAAAATCCGTAGATGCTCAAGTCCTATTAAATATAATGGCAGAGCAAAATGGAGTCCTTTATATCAAATGGAAAATCAAGGTTTGCTATTTGGAATTTATACTTTTTGGGGGGAACATTTTCAAGCCGGGGATGCTTGAATCCATGGATAAAAAAAAACAAAACCTGTGGATAAGGAGGGCCTGTGCACTTGGCCTGTGCATATGATATTATAATTTAAAGGTATAATTTTAATTCTGCTAGTTGTTTGATGTCACAATTATTACCATTACCTTCATTGATATACGGGAAGTACGATCTATGAATAACATCAGTATTGCGTGTGGTTAAAGTGAACATTTGGAAGGCTGTGATGTTTTAAAGGGGAAAAAATTAAAAAATAATTTTACATTGTTTGTTTGTTTTAAAATTAAATATTACAATTGAATTTTTAAAAAATTCCCGGCAGCCTCTACTTTTGCCTCCCACTGAGTTTCACTCCATCTTTTCAGCATTTTAAAGGGACCGCAGGTGAACACCACATCCCATTTCTGCCAAAAGGTTTAGGATGCTGTGGTGTCTCCTGATCCGGTCTTTAGCCCTTGCACCCGCTAGTGATGCCCCCGATCCTATATCCTCCCACTATATGTCACCCAAAACAGTGGGACACAGAGGAGGGCCCCTTCAATAGACCTCAACCCTAAAAGTGGCTTCTAAAGTTTCACACTAAGGACGTTATTACACGGGGGCAAATCTGCTGGTTAATCCACACAA